TGGCGTTTCTGTGTGGATGTCCTTTTTGTTGATGTTGATGCTATTCCTTTCTGTTTATTAGTTTTCCTTTTTACAGTCAGGCCCCTCTGCTGCAGGTCTGCTGGAGTTTGCTGGAGGTCTAGTCCAGACCCTGTTTGCCTGGGTATCACCAGTGGAGGCTGCAGAACAGCAAAGATTGCTGCCTGTTCCTTCCCCTGGGAAAGTTTGTCCCAGAGGGGCACCCGCCAGATGGCATCCGGAGCTCTCCTGTATGAGGTGTCTGTCAACCCCTGCTGGGAGGTGTCTCCCAACCCCTGCTGGGAGGTGTCTCCCAGTCAGGAGGCATGGGGGTCAGGGACCCACTTGAGGAGGCAGCCTGTCCCTTAGCAGAGCTCGAGCGCTGTGCTGGGAGATCCGCTGCTCTCTTCAGAGCTGGCAGGCAGGGATGTTTAAGTCTGCTGAAGCTGCGCCCACATCCACCCCTTCCGCCTGGTGCTCTGTGTCAGGGAGATGGGAGTTTTATCTCTAAGCCCCTGACTGGGGCTGCTGCCTGTCTTTCAGAGATACCCTGCCCTGAGAGGAGGAATCTAGAGAGGCAGTCTGGCTACAGTGGCTTTGTGGCGCTATGGTGGGCTCCGCCCAGTTCGAACTTCCTAGTGGCTTTGTTCATACTGTGAGGGGAAAATATCCTACTAAAGCCTCAGTAATTGCAGATGCCCCTCCCCCCACCAAGCTCCAGCATCCTAGGTCGATTTCAGACTGTTGTGCTGGCAGCGAGAATTTCAAGCCAGTGAATCTTAACTTCTTGGGCTCCATGGAGGTGGGATCTGCTGGTCTAGACCACTTGGCTCCCTGGCTTCAGCCCCCTTTCCAGGGGAGTGAATGGGTCTGTCTTGCTGGCGTTCCAGGTGCCACCGGGATATGAAAAAAAAAACTCCTCCAGCTAGCTCAGTGTCTGCCCAAATGGCTGCCCAGCTTTGCACTTGAAACCCAGGGCCCTGGTGGTGTAGGCACCCAAGGGAATCTCCTGGTCTGCTGGTTGCAAAGACCATGGGAAAAGCATAGTATCTGGGCCAGGATCCACAGTTCCTCACAGCATAGCCTCTCACGGCTTCCCTTGGCTAGGGGAGGGAGTTCCCCGACCCCTTGCGCTTCCTGGGTGAGGCTACACCCCACCCTGCTTCGGCTCTCCCTCCGTGGGCTGCACCCACTGTCTAACCAGTTCCAATGAGATGAACCAGGTACCTCAGTTGGAAATGCAGAAATCACCACCTTCTGCGCTGATCTCGCTGGGAGCTGCAGACCAGGGCTGTTTCTATTTTGCCATCTTGCTATTCCCTTGTTTTATTTTTCTCTAGCATTTATGATAACTTGAAACATATTTTAATATATTTACTTCTCCCTATTCCACTAGTATATATGTTCCTAAAAGGCACTGGTTTTTGTCTGTTCTGTTCATTGTTGTATTTTTAGCACCTAAAACAATACTTGGCATGTGATAGGTATCCAATAACTTTTAAAATAAATGAATGTACTTGAAAAAAAATTACATGATGCTCCCAAAACATCAAAGCTGAAAATCATTTGACTAACTTTACTGTTCAAATGTAAGTGATCAATAATAAAAGATCACTATATTGTTCAGCAGTCACGTAAATATTAAAACTAGTATTTCAGTATTTGAATATGCTGACAGTAATGTTTTCATAAACTAGATTTTGTGTCTAGCTCCTCAGGTTTGGAACTCTTTTTAGTAAGACCATAATGCATTGTAAGGATTTCTCATGAGTATGTTTAGTAGTTCAAGTCCTTATTGAATTTCACAGATAAAAGATAGCAAATGTATGCTGAACTTTAAGGACTGAGGTAACATAAGACTGAGTTGAATGTAATAAGGCAGCAGTGTAGTGGTGACATTGAGAAAAATTGAAGATTCAAAAAGTATAAATTCAAGAGTGACATGCAAGTAGCATTCATTTTTTTGTTTGTTTGTTTGTTTGTTTTACACTTGTTAGATTTTGTCTTAGTCCCTTTGTGTTGCTATGAAGGAATACCTGAGGCTGGGTATTTATAAAGAAAAGAGGTTTATTTGGCATATGGCATCTACATCTGGTAAGGGCCTCAGACTCATGGCAGAAGGCAAAGAGGAATCAGTGTGTGCAGAGATCACATGGTGAGAGAGGAAGCAAGGGTGGAGGCAGGGAAGGCCATGCCAGGCTCTTTTTTTTTCTTTTTTTAATAACCAGCTCTTGTGGGAACTGAATAGTGAGAACTCACTCATTCCTTACCCTCAGGCCTTAATCTATTTGTGAGGGATCTGCCCCCATGACTCAGACACTTCCCATTAGGCATAACCTAATGGGGATCAGATTTCAACATGACATTTGGAGGAGTTAAACATTTAGACGATAGCAGATACCTAATGTCCAGCTATTTTAAGAGCAGTGAGAGAAACTAGAAGAATCAGAGGAACATAAACAATTATAAAAGCTTCGATTACTAAAAAAGGATAAAAGACAAAGTTGATTAAAGAGTTATCCTTAAATTTGTGGCTATTACACAAAAGGTGTACTGATCAACTTTTTTCCATCACATAAAACAAAATTTAGATGGTACATGAAAACATTAACTTACCCACTTTCAGAGTGATTAAATATTAGAGCAGGTTGACAGTGGAATCTGTGGACTCAACTAATTGGTGTTTGGCCAGAGAACAGTTGATCTTTTCTGGCTAGTTTGAGTTCAGTGCGCTCAAATTTGGGCAATAGTTAAAATATATTTTGAGACCCTCTTCAATTCTAGGAGAAAATAGATTTTGTATTCAAGACCTTAATACTAAGCTGCTGGTCTGAACCTCTTTAAATAAACTCAGGTTTTATTAGTCTTTAAGAAAGAGCTAGTATATTATTATGTCTCACAGAGTGATTTATTTTTATTCTGGAATATGTTTTGGCAAGTAGGGTTTGAAATTTAAAAATTATTTCACTTTTTGTTTGTTGGTTTGCTTGTTTTAAGATTGTTCCAGGACACGAAGGGAGATTCTTCCACATTACTGAAAGCACTTCCTTTGAGGCTTCAGCAAACAGCTTTTGAAAATGCATACCTGAAAGCTCAGGAAGGAATGAGAGAAATGGTAATTTTAAGTAACATGTATTTGCTGTTATCATATGCTTGCTATGAATATCCCATAAATTACTTTACCAAATTTGGCATAAGAGAGTTTATAATGCAGTAGTTTACAGTGTGAAGCTGCTCTAAAACAAGTGTATGAATTGAATGAAACTGCATTATTTCTAGGTCACAATGGGTCAAATCATAGAAATTTCTTTTGGTTTAACTTAATATATTTCTTTTGGTTTAGCATTTTTATGGAGAAACCCAAAATTTAACTGAGTTTTTATGGGAGTATAAATGACTTCCTTTTTTATTTTAAAAATCCCTTCGTATGTGATCTGATTAAAAGCTAATTAAGGGAACAGGTGACAATGGGAAGAAATGGATTGAGGATTAAAGTAAAGTAAAAGAATCTCACACCAGATCAAATCATTGTGGTGTTTACAGTGAAACTTGTGATATTTCACATTTCTGTAGAATAACATACTTATTATGGTAATGATTATCTTAGGGTTCAAATTTTTTCATTTATTTATGCCCTGATTTGTTTCTTACAAGTATTTAAGATAGTTAAATAACTGTCAAATCTGTGATAGCAGGAAATTGAAAGGGACAATTGAAAGAATGTGAGTTTAGAAAAGAATTTCAATAGATTAGAAAGATAAGTGTAAATAACATAAAATCTAATGAGATAATGTATATTATACATTTTAAAGCAGCCTGTCATCTGCAAAATGGGAAAATACTGATCTCACAGCAACTCATTTAGAAAAAGACCTAAGAAGTTTTATATCTTGAGATTATAGTATGAATCAACATTGTATTACAGTTATCAAAAAAGGCTAACTCTGTCTTATACTGCATTAACAGAAGCATATTTTCATGAACAAAGTTGATACAAGAACTTGGATCTTTTATACTTTTTGCTTTATTTTTAGATTTTTTAATTTTTATGGGTGCATAGTAGGTGTATATGTGTATGTATTTGGGGAGTACATGAGATGTTTTGATACAGGTATACAATGTGAAATAATCACATCATGGAGAATGGGGTATCCATCCCCCAAACAAATATCCTTTGTGTTACAAGCAATCCAATTATGCTGTTTCAGTTATTAAATGTTTCTGTATTTTTTAGAGGATAACTATAATGTTTGCTTTGGTTCTGAGTAAAGTAAAAGATTTTTAGCCAGGATATTATAGATCTGTGTCTTATAAAAAATGGGTGAAGGAATTGACTTAGTGGAAAGCTCATAATTGTTTTTAAACATGTCAGTGCTTGTGATTTAGCAAAGGTATTGGTCCTTACTCTTTCTTGTACTGAAAGACAGAACTAGGATTAGTGAGTAGGAGGTTTTTTAAATGTGTATAGCTAGTCAAAACATCTGGAGTTCAGTTGGGATTTTATAATTGATTGTTAAGCATTTACATTTTACATTACTTTTTTTTTTTTTTATTTCTTTTTAAGTCCCATAGTGCTGAGAACCCTGAACCTTTGGATGAAATTTATAATAGAAAATCTGTTTTACTGATGTTGATAGCTGTGGTTTTATCCTGTAGCCCTATCTGTGAAAAACAGGCTTTGTTTGCCCTATGTAAATCTGTGAAGGAGAATGGATTAGAACCTCACCTTGTGAAAAAGGTATATGTGGATGAGTATTTTATTATAAGCTTCTTTAGGTCACTGTGAAATAATTTAAGAAGTTAAAGGTAGATTTTCTAAGTGGCACTTATTTAAGACTAGGAAACAGTTTTATTTTTCAGGTTGGGAATATTGGAAAGCAGTTATATAAAAACTATTCAAATGGTGTATTTATGTGTATGCTGTGTTGTTTCTTACATTCCATTTAAGAGCATTTCACAAGGCTTTCATTGAACTAACAAGAGTGAATGACTTGTCCACCAGACTGACCAGCTTTTGGAAATAGTATTTATTGAGGGAAACACATGGAGACAAGAGCAATATAGGTGTTTTGCCCGGTAGATTCTGGGGCAGCACATTGGGATCTGGCAGGGCCAGAAGTCAAATTTTAGAACTATCAGGCTTTTAAGTTCAATTATCAGGGGAGAAGGACTAGGGTCCAAGCCTTGTAATTACTACATCAGCACAGTATTATAGAATGTTGGCCCCCTCTCTTTTCCATCCCCTCAGCATTTATGGTTTAGGAAGTTCCAGGCCTTTCCATTGCAAATTTTTATGCGATAAATCAGTGGTAGGTCAGTGGACTGATATGCCAGTTAACATTCTACCAGCATAGTTTCCGTGGTGCTTTGTAGTAAGCCAACCTATAATCAGTTAGCCTTTTACCTCTCAGTATAAGACTTGTTTGGTGTTTCTTAAAAGTATACAAGTACGTTACCTAATAATCGTAAGTGGTATGTATTGTTTGGATTTTCCTTATTTGGATTTAAGCCTGAGAGGAATAATTTTATTTTATTTTTATTTATTTCTTTATATTTATTTATTTATTTATTTATTTTGAAAGACAGGGTCTCACTCTGTCACCCAGGCTGGAGTGCAGTGATGCAATCATGGCTCACTG